GGGAGATACACAGCAGAATGGAAATTATGTGAGCGGAGATGACCTTGGGCAGAGAGGTAAGAGCGTAGAATGAAGTGTGGGCAAAGTGAGAGGGAAACAGGCCAATCTGCTATAGTCAAACATTGGCCTCCAAAGTTGTAGTTCTTCTCATTGTTGTGTCTATAGTATTATCTGTACAGCTCAGTGCTGTCACTGACTTCCTCAAAAGCTGTTGCAGTGAACCTTGAGTTATGTTTGTGCATTTTTTCCATCCACACTGAGAGCCGCCTATGGGTTTTGACTTGAAATGTGCACTGATATGTTTGACTCTTTCACTTTGATTTTATAGCTAACTAGCAAACTATTGCAAGTGTTTGGTCATTGGAGCATGGAATTGTTCTTGTTTCTTAAAATAATTAGGCAGTTGTCTGAGAATGTGACTGAGCACACTGGCTGTTTTGAAAACTTGTTTCTTTGTGCATGAACCCACCTTTCCCCAAGGGCTCATCCTGCTGCTCAGCAGCTGCTACCATACCACGGTAGACATTTTTTGCTAATTCTTTTCCATCACAGAAACTTAAAAGCAATTTAAATTTCTGCCGATGCTTCAGTCTGGTTTCTCCTCTGGGCTGCTCCCATTTAATCATTCTTACAATCGATCCAGGGCTTGAGGTGTGTTTAATCTATTGGGTAGAAAAAAAAGTACATAGAAGTGACTGAAATGTTTCTGGTAAAAGTCATGCCAGCTTGAGCAAAGTGTAATGGAATGTAGGGAATTTGGATATTATTTTGTTCAGCTGGGTGACTCCTCCCGGTATTACGATTACTTTTCATTTTTGAAAAATTATAACAAAGGACATGCATCTTTAAACTCTGTCTTTCACCTCTGTCTCTCTCTGTCATTCTGTCTTTTTCACACAAAAGCACAAAGCATTTGAAGTATTTTTACATCAGAAGCAGCATTTGGACATCATGCTCGCCCTTTGTTTCCCTTTATCATTTTGAGGTTTATCAGAGATTTGGCTAAAATCTAATCAAGCAGATTGGAGCTTTGGAAGACTTATGTTTGCCTCAAGCTATCTAGCACATTTTTTAATCAGGTGACAGGCAGAACACTAGACATCTGTATTCAAATCAGAAATCAGCGGATGGCTAAAGTTAAATCAAGAAAGTCAGTTGATCACATCATCAGAATGCTTGTTTTTATCACAGTGTGTATCTGAGTCCAGTTGTTTGCACAACTGAAATATGCAAGAAGATCGCATGATGAAACGGTAACAAATAACACGCCGATAACAGGCCTGTTATTTCCTGGTAGTCTGTGATCACGTCTGTCAAGCATGTCCTCTGGTGTTGAATAGGCTTGTTTGTGAGTGTCAGACCTCCCAGGGAAACCCTGTGCATGAGGCATCAGCACAGTCAAGCTTCAACACGTCTCCTCTCATTCAGCAACACATCCCGGGCTTCTGGAAGGAAAAAAAAAAAAAAACCACAAGCAGCCTGTGTCTGTCTGTCACCTGCTCAACGTGTTGTGATGAAATTACTAGTGACACAGCTGTATAAACTGGGCTCACCATGAACCTGAGGCATGTTGATTGTGTAATTCTCCATACAAATGTATTAATTGTTTTTTATTTATTCAGTTCATAGTTGAACTGAAAATCACTTAAGAGCTGTATCAAATAAACCTACTTACAAGGCCCAGTTCTAGAGCATTTGTAAAATGTGTGGAAAATGTTCACAAATAGCACTAAATGGTTATAATTCCATTGCAAAATAAACAGCTAGAGCATTGAAAACAGGACTTTGAACCCAGTAGAGACCTCAGAGTAAATATCAGTTTTAGCTAGTCTGTGTGTTGACATACGAGCAGGAAATTCGTGGTCATATTAGTGGTTTCACACCAACTGTGTGATCTGTTTGTTATTATCCCTCTAACCCTTCCTTTCTTACTTCTCTACATCCTTCAAACTGTCTAATTTGGGTTGAGAGGGGTTACATTTTAACATGTCAATATTATTCACAAGGCAGATGTCTAAAACATCAGTGTTCCAGTGTCAGAGTGTTACAATGACACCAGCTACCCATAGTAGTGTTTGATCATACTGGATAAAAAGAACAACATACTGAGAGTTGTTTAGTCCTCATGGTGGAACATATGTGTCCTTTGCCAGTGTTATTTAAATCAGCCTATTTAGTCAAGCAGTGCTGTGTGAGCTGGAAATTTTGCTGTGTGGCATTATTACTGTACACAAAACAACAATGAGAAAGGGCAAGACTGCATACGAAGTACAGACACAAACACCCATGCAGGTGCTGATTTTCTTCAGGCGATGCAATATGAAGCACATCTTGTATAAGCTGTGACAGTCAAATGTCCATTTGGAAACACAGTGGCCAATGTGTGTGTCAGAAATTAATTAATTTAATATGTTTTACTATGGTGATTTTTAGATACAGCAAAAAAAAAAAAAAAAAAAAAGTTGTGTCAGCATGAAGCTCAGCCTCTGGACTGCATTTTTGCTAGTTACAGTCCAAAGAATTAGAGATCACAAAGGTTTAAAGACATTTGCATTTTTTATTCTCATCCAAAATGTCAACAGACCTGTATGAGTAATCATGTGGACTAATTATCCTGCGGTGTTTTAGCAAAGGAGACTTGGTGAACTATAGTCTTTGATAGGCAATAGATGAGTACATGCCATTATTTAGCGATAGTATCAGTACTGCATCAGGGTCCGGCACAGCCTTTTCCTTCTCCCCTCTGAGATCTTACCTTCTAGAACAGGTTTTTCTACTTTAGTCAGTGGAAATGATGACAATCAGATGTATCTAGAAGTATTTCATGCTACTCATCATTTTAGTCACCCAGATCCACGCAGTTTGTGGAATTCAAATTTAGATAAAAACACACACAATCTTCATTAATTGTATGTCAGCCACTATAAGTGATGAACGCCAAAATAAACTGACAAACACGCACAGCCATGAAAATGGAGGAGAACCTGATCTTGTAACATTATTATGGTTAACATGTCAACCATACTGACTCCATGGATATTTAACGTATCATTGGGCCTCCTAAAACTGTTATATTTAGACATTACAGTAGTTAATAAGAAGATATGGATTGTGTATTGGACTTCCAAATAGCTGCATCCCAACCCAGGAGTCCCCACGAGTGGTGTGGTTTGTACTTGGACCCTAGCTGGGTTCACTTGGCATTTGTTCCTTTCCATTTATTTTTCAAGAAAATTTACTGTCGCGCTCCAGAAAGGAATCAACAAAAATAAACACTACTGTAATTCACTGGCAGCATTTGGATTTGCTGGTTATTGCCAGCGCTAGATTGTGTGGCCTTATGAGAGATGAATGGATAAAGAAGCTGCCTGCAGTTTCTCAAATGACCACCTCAGTATTGCCTGTAGTGCGACTGCCCTCTTACAAGGTACAGTAAATGCTCTCACATCTCAGGCACATCTGTATGGGTTTCAAACCCTTCTCATACAGGCACATCTGTATGGGTTTCAAACCCTGCCATGTATTTTGCTGAGGAATAGCAGACTAAAAACAATGCATGAACTTTTTTTTCCCTGACATTTGTAGATATGCCTGAACCTTTGTCTCAAATTAATAAGGTTCTAAATATGTTTTACATTGTGACATATTTCAGTTTCACAAGAGAATTTGAGTGCTATAAAATGGCAGATTTTGCCAATAGTGTTGGTGCATTCACTAGTACTAGAGTGAGCCTTTCCTCAGCATGTGTCTCAGTGTGTGCGTGTTTTCCTATGTGTCTTCGTCACGGTGTTTAAGGACATCTGCCCCCGTAGCAAGACTAATAATCCTTTGCTCGACGGGTCTCTGTGGAGTCTGTGAGCTTGCATTGCTCAGATTCCTGATTGAATAAGTGGTGCCCCCCACGTGGGACTGTAGAGTCCAAAATTAAGGGCACCGGGTCTGCAAAACCCTACTTTATCTTTGTTAAGTGGGGCTTGAATGATTCTACACTTACTGATTCCTTGGCCCACTTTGCCACTTGATGGCATCCTAGTACATCAGTGCGATTTTTTTCTGGGTTGATGTGATTTGGTTTCTTAGCATCATAATATCTGCAACTTATCTTTTCAGTGGAACTATAACACAACAAAAGGTGTTACAGCTAATCCTAAAACATGATAATAATGACTGTTCAGATTCAAATGTTTTTTTAACAGACAGGTTTATATGTTTCACCTCCTCATATGAGCCTTATGACAAAGGTGTAATTATCTGAAATAGAATGCATCACAGATTTACTATAGTATAAATGACTTTCTAAGAGAGAGTCATGTAAAGCTTGGGAGGAATGAAATCAGTGGTAATGTGTAATACAATCTATTGAACTGTTCATTTATTGTGTGGCATACCTGGTCAGCCTGTAACACCTGACAGCTACTGCTCTCTTTCACACTTTATTAACACAGTTTCCAGGAATGTCAAACCTAGACAAACACTCAAAAACACACTTCAGACCTGAAATCTCTTCATCATAGTTTCTCACACAGTCCTAGTTGTACCAAGTGATGTTTACAGTTACTGAAACCAATGTCTCTATCTTTTCTTTTTCAGTCTCTCACATCTGTCTATTCACAGCCATTTCTTCATGACTCAGTGAGCACGTTTGTCCACTTGGTTGTCTTGTGACTTGTTTGCAAAGTGGACTTGAGCTCTTTTATGTAGTAGTCTCACTGCTTCCTAAAACTCGAGGAAGAAAGGATTCCTTTCATGCTGCCAGGCGCACTTTGATTTTCAACCACGTTATTGTCTGAAATGGCAAAAACCATTTTAATTACCTTTTGTTTGAAAATGAACAAGTTAAGTTATTCCTGGTCTTTCTCTAAAATGTTCATTTTTGTGGCACACTGTGTGTGTGTGTGTGTGTGTGCGCGTGCAACAGTCAGACTTTTTTTTTGTTGTTGTTTGCTTTTGCAAATGGCCAAGAAACTGAGAATAACCTACGCTTTCTTGTCCAACTACAGGGTGTCAACCAAAAGCAAAGCACCATCCCCACCAGGACTAAAGAGGCCGGATTCCCCAGGTTTCTCTCAGTTTTACCCAGGAAACCATCATTTCACCATGGACCAGAAGGAGAACCTTAATGATAAAAACCTCTCTCTGCATGTGGTTTTGCCTGGGGGAGTGGAAAAGATGACAGTGGTTCATGGAAGGTACAGTTAGACATCAGTGTAAATCAGTATCCCATGGTCGTGATGTGTGAAGCTTAAATTCATAAAGTTGCATACTGTATATTGGATGATTACATTTGCAATTGTGTGTTGGTTAATGCTGAACATTTCAGTGTAGGCTGAAGTCAGATGAAGTCATTACATAAAGTTCAGTTCCAGTCAGATTGTGGAGATTGCATTTATTTATTTTTGTTCTCAAACGATTGAGTGAGGGATTAATGCAACATAAATTATCTGATCGCATGCTAGTGAAATAACAATACATATACAACTTACTGTTAAATACTTCAGCTGGAACTGCACCACCTTATCAGATCAATGTGTCAACATATCTCCATGTCTATTTTCAAGAACTCCGTGTCCGTCTGTGAGTCAGCTCGTTCGCACTGCTTCAACATTCCATTGACGGAGTTTACTTAAGATACCATTATCTTTATTTTAATGCACAAAGTTTACAAACATTCTATCTTTTGCACCTTGGAGTCTTGAAGAATGAATGAAAGTGATTCAGTGAGGAAAGACTAAGCTCTGAATTCTTTGCCTTCTTTTCTCCTCTAAACCTTTTCTAAATGCCTGCACAACAGAGTTGGTGCTTTATTTAAGGGTTTAAGTTTAAGGCCTTAAGGTTATCTACTGCATTATCATAGCCAGGAAAGCGCCATGCAGTTTCTGTTTCCACACATTCTGCACATCTTCTTTAAACATAAACTTATTTAAATCAATGAAGCTACCAGCCCATGAAATTAACTGTTTTTTCCCCAAGGGAACTCTAAACTATCCTTGTATTAAAGTATAAAATTAATTTATAAGTCAAGCAATTGTTATGCCTGTTTGTTAACAAAACATCCATTATGTTAAGTCATTTTTATTTTATATTAAAAGTACTTTGTTACATTTTCTTTGTGCACCTGGTACTTAACATTTCACCTCACTTCTACCTTCTTATGTTAAACAAATGAGTTTATTTTCTCTTTGACTTTCAGCCAACCCCTCATGGATCTGTTAGTGACGCTTTGTGCAAAGTATCACCTGAACCCCTCGAGCCACACCTTAGAACTGGTCACCGCCAACAGGAACAGCGTCAAGCTGAAGCCTAATACACTCATAGGGACTGTGGATGCGGAGAAGATTATACTTAAACCTAAAGGGGAGGATAAAAACAAGAAGACGGGTCCTCAGATGCCTGAGGTACATTGAGTACATCAGCATGCTGGAAACACTATTTGCTGTTCATGTTGAGTAAACAAATGTAATCAAACGAGCACATTTTGTTTTCTCCAGGCAACTGTTCGGATGGTGATAAACTACAAAAAGACCCAGAAAACTATATTACGGGTCAATCCCCGAGTTCCACTGGCCGAGCTCTTACCAGCAATATGTGAGAAATGTGAATTTGACATGGAGTCTACGGTTCTATTGAGAGATGTCCAATCACTGGCCCCTTTGGACTTGTCCAGTTCTCTAAATGATTATGCAATAAGAGAGCTTTATGCAAGAGACACTAAAGGTACAAGTACTGTCTATTAAAAGATCCAACCCTTGTGCATACTGATGTGAGATTTTGTGTTTTAGCCTATTTACCATCTGATATTTGACATACCTCCCTCATCAGCTCACTTGTTGTGTATATACCATTTGTTCTGCATTAAATCTCATGCTTGTTGGCTCTGCAGGACAACCTGATTCTCCTGTGTGTCCAGCCTCAACAAGTCAAGCAGGTATTTCATTTTTTTAAAACTCTATGATTAGTATTGACAGAGCCATCAGTTTTCTGACTGTTTTCTTGTTGTCTTTGTTTTTCAGGAACAGTCCAGCCAGGCAAAGATAAGACTCAGAAAGAGAAAGAAAACAAAGGCCTCTTTAGTTTGTTCAGAAAAAGCAAGAAAAAGTCAGACCAGGTAGATGTTCTTTAGTAAAACAGTTATATTTTCTTTTTGCATATCCTGTATGAAGTATTTGTCCAAGGACACAACTGTATTAGAAAGTAAAATGTCAGAGGGAGTTTTGTTTACTTTTCTTTGCCATTGGTTGACGTGTGCTGCATTGTTTGGGAACAGTCCTCCTTATCGTGTTTTGATTGGATGTTTGTTCTTTAAAGGCAACGGCAGCCAGCGCCCCAGCTTCCCCAGTACTTGTGAGCAAACCTCGACCGCGCAGCATGGCCTTACCTAGCACAAATTCGTCTCCTCTCAGCTCTCCCACAATCTCCATGGACATGCCAAAGAAGAGACGTGCACCCCAGCCCCCAGTCTTTGTCTCTCAGAGCTGCCCCTCGGACCCTAGTGCTCGTCGGAGACTCTATTCTGAGCCAGTTTCCCAACTAGACCGTGACCAGGTGAGTGGACTGACTGATGAGACAGAAGCTCTGACATCTGTAGGAGCACTCATTATGTAACTAACTTGCATTTTGTTACTTAGGTGTCTCGTTTAAGTCGTGGGTCCTCGGCAGAGTCTTCACTGAAGAGAACCAAACGCAAGGCTCCTCCACCTCCCGCGTCTCCTAGCGCTGTTGTCCAAGAAACAGTGCCTCTAGATCAAAGTTTGCAAGGTTTGTCCTTGTTTAAATCTGAGCCTATATATTAGAGTTTCATATAAGAAGTGGTCATGTTTACTTATTCAGTGGATTGTTAGGGTAATTGTTTGATTTCTGTGTTGAATATAAGGTGTGTGGCATTTTGTCATGTGTACTTTGACCCTTAAGACAAAGACAGGTCCTTTCAAACGTTGCAGCTGAGTTAATAGTTTTTATTTGATTTGACTTGTATGCCACCTAGTGGCTGTTATTGAACAGTGCTTCTTCATGTTGAACACTATAGCCCTGTAAGGAGACAAAATCACAGCATGTTTATGGTGGTAAGAGCATGGGAAATGATTGCTTTAAATAGGACTTGTGTTTAACTCTACAGGTTCAACGCCATCTGCGAGTAAGATTTTCCAAATTACTGGTGTATTTTGGTCATTTTCCTGGGATGAATATAATTAACTTGCTTTCACAAACAGTCCTTTCCTGTGATTGTGCAGACATAACTCACTCTCCTCACTCTCACTGGATTATTCTGTGAGGGGAAACTCCACCTGTCCTATATACAGATCTCTCTTGATAAATCAAAAACTAAGAATATTTAAAAATACAACTTCTAAACTGCAAAGCCAATGCATTTTAGTTTATATAGCTAAACTGATAAAGCTTATTTAGTGAATGCACAGCTTTAACTGGATGTGGCTATTCATACAAATAGCAAGTAGGGCAGATAGATAGGAGCTAGATGGTTTTTGAGAATCCTGCTTTCATCCAGAACCAACCATGTTTTTAATTACTTTGTCTTTAATGGTCTCTTTTGGTTTAAATATTGGAAAATACTGAAATCTATCCACAGTGAGAACTGGATTTTTATAACCAACAAGGATATGTTTTGAACTAGATGCTCCCATTGACTTTTTCAATGTCTGTAAGCACCACATACAGAATGTAATTCACTCCATCATGTGTATTCAGAATTGTCATTGCAAGAACTAATGTCCTGTGTATCACACAAACAGCAGTTTTTGTTCTTTAAACTGAGCCTCTGTGGCTTTAAAAACATGTTTTCTACATGTTTATACTTGAACTGTGCTATTGTATCAGAAAATGTCACGGCTTCCGTGTTTACCCATAGTCCTTTGACCAGCACCATATATCCCAGACCACATTACTAGGAAATGTACCCAGGCATTCTATGACTCCTCTTTCCATGTGTAACCACTTCCGTCCTCCGCTTGCTCCTGGTTTTTTGAACATTGAGTTCACACAGAAAGATCACTTCCTCTGGTGTTTTTCCCAAACAACCCAGGGCAGCTCAGTAGACAAAGAGATCAGAGGCTGAGAACAGTGAGTTTTGTTTAAATAGCCCCGAATTCCTTTTGCTATCTGCTCCTCTGTGTTGCACTAAGTTGAAGTGCTAAATTAAGAACAAGACAAAGCAGGTGTTAGATGTGAAACCTTATAAATGGAATAGAAGAACCTTTATGGCAAGTGTGAATATACACACCCATGAGTACTGTGTTTTGCATATGTTTACAGTGGGAAAATAAAATAAAATGAACAAATATATACTAACTTAAAAACTGTTATACAACCTTTGAATTTTTGCTAAATGAGTTGAGCTTCATAACAATTTCTTAAATCATATGATCAGTTTTTATATACATATTACAGCCAATACATGCCTTTGCCAAAGTGGGCATAATGTGATTTTTGGATACTCTACTGATCATTTAACAACACTTCTAATGCCACTCAGTAAATGGCAGTGAGTTTTGATTGAGCTCCTTTATGTTTTTACAGGGGATACAGCTGCTAACACACTGGAGGAGATTATGGAGCAGGAGGAGGTGACTCCTTCTGTAATGTCTGCTACTGCTAGTGATACCCAGGGAGAGGACGGCAGCCTCAGCATGTCAGCTGATGCTTCATTGCATTCCCCATCCCCAGATACTGAAATACTGAGCACAATGTCTGTCGAGGGCAATGGGGAAGATCTGGCTTGTGATATGTCCTCAGATGGCAAGTACGAACTCTAGTAAGACTTCTCAAGACTGAGCCTGCTTTTTCATTAGCGTTAAGAATAATTCTAAACCGTTGTTTGCTTGGTTTTTACAGTGAACAGCAAAGCACAGTGAATGAGTTTGTAACTCTCGGTGATGTGAGGACAACTGCTGGCACAGACTCATCTAAACTGGAAGTTACAAGTGGGTTTATTAATGTGTTGGGTTTTTTTTAAATATCTATTCTACAGATACAGTACTATGCAAAGGTTTTAGGCCACCATTAGATTTGTTGTTTTAGAAAGATTATATGTATTTATTTATCAGAATGCAGCTAGAAAATGTAGGAAATATGTACACTGTATTAAAAAAACACAAAAATGAGTGGAAGAGCAAGAAAAAGAGCAAATTTCTCAGAGTTTCTTCTTTGAGAGACCAGAGGAAATCCAGGAAGGACCTGGTTTAGCATCTGGCAGCTTCATCTGGATTGCCAAGTCCACAGTCTGAAGAAGCTTGATCAGGAACGGTCTTTGTGGAAGGACGGCAGCCAAGAAACCGCTTTTTCAGAAGGGGAACAGGAAGAAAAGGCTGAGATATGCAAAAGCCTGCAAAGATTGGAGTGAAGATCAGAGGAGAAGAGTATTATGGAGTGATGAATCAAAGGTTTAAATGTTCCTAGTCCAATCGCCAACAGTTTGAAACATGGCGGAGGGTCTGTCACAGTTTCAAGATTTCAAGAGAATTCAAGCTGTGCTAAGTGCAAAGGAGGGGGGGGGAGAGGTCACACTAAATGCTGACTTTGGACTGTAGACGTCATTTGGTCCTGAAAAACTAATGGTGGCCTAAGACTTTTGTTGCAACAATGCCTACTTAGGGTTTTTTTTTTTTTTGTTCACTTGATGTGTTTGCGCTTCTCAAAGAAAGTTAACACACCTGTCTCACATGAAAAATATTTTCTTTTACCTGTATAGGTAGTGGTCCTTGTCAAGTTGAAAATGTAAGCCAACAGCCAATCTGTGAAAGGTCTACAACTGAGAGTGCTGAAGGAGATTGCAGTACTGTACCCAGCAGTCCTCATCAGCCTGTGATGCAGGATGCAGAAGGACAGGCCTGTGTTCAGGAAAACACTGAACCCCTGCAGGAGCAGGCTGTCAGGTTGGAGAGTGCTGTGGCCACCAACACATCATGCCCCGCTGGAGAGGTTGCTCAAGTGCAAACAGATTTCGCACTGCCTGTGTCTCTACCACAACAAATGGATAAAGTTCCATTTGCAGATAATGCAACAGCCCTTGAATCAGCAGGGAAGAAAGATATGGCCACTTTGACGGAGGAGCTGAACCCACCTGACTTCAGACATGTCTTTTCCCACACCTCAGAGACATCCTCATGCCAGCACTCAATACCAAGTGCCCCTGCCACAACAAAGGCACCATGTGTTTATGCTACAGACTCTGAGCCAAAGCCCAAGCCTTCCAATGAGCTGACAAGGGACTACATCCCCAAGGTGGGAATGACAACGTATACTATTGTGCCTCAGAAATCTCTGGAGAAACAGAGATATTTTGAAGTCGCACTGACACTGGAGAAACCTCCTGTGGCTCCAGAAGAGGGACTTAATATTGGTTCTCTTCAGTTGGAGGAGAGCACAGCACCGCGAAGACAGATGGAGGCCTCAGAGGAAAAAAGTGAGCTACACTCTACTATACCCAGGGAAGACTTACTGAGCAGCACTGCTACTAACCATGACACTGTTAATGGATGCATACCTGAATCTACTCATTTCGCATCACCAACAAGTTTACCTAAAGCAGATGAGAAGATCTCATTCTCGGCTAATGGGACATTTCAAGTAGGTTCACCAGCAGAAGTCAAGGAGGTGAAAATTCCACCTGCAACTAAACCTAAACCTGGTTCTTTCCGCTTTGCACAGCACAAAAAACCATCTGGGTATTATGTAACCTCAGCGGCAGTGAAAAGCTTTGCCCAGAGAGAGGGTCAAGAAAATGCAGAGAGAGCAAAGTTATCACCACCTCCTATGCAGTGTTGGGAGGAGACAACTGGGGCTGCTAACATCCAGTTTTGCCCTACAAGGGATGACCGGGGCATAGCCATCAAGCAAATCACTAGGCAAAGTAGTTTACCATGTAAAGAGCCAAGTGCAGGGCTAAGCTTGGAAAAATTAAGAAGCTTTGCAGCCCCTAGGCCCTACTCTCCTACAACCCCATCTCGGTTTGCCCAGGCCGTGTCCTCTGCTGTGAGAAGGAGCCAGTCCTTATACCATGGGCCAAAGTCACCTCACTCACCTGTTTCACCACCCCTCTCTCCAATTACAACTTGTTCTTCAGTCATAGAGTCAAAAGGATTAACTAATCTCAAGGTGAGTTCTGAAAGCAAAGTTTTACATGATTAAAGATGAAAGCAGTAAAGACTGTCTGTTCATGAGACCACTGTCACTGGTCGTTGTTTTTTAATGCATACTTTGATTTTAGTTTGTTTAAACAATTGCTGTGGCGCTTCTTTCTGGTACTGCCTCAGCCATTTACACAGTGGCAAGTTAACAACTGTCATGACCATATATCCAGCAGAATAGTCATAATAGTTTCTGTGACCTATTGACTTGAATCAGCCCAGGGTTTAAAATAAAATATCTTCTGTGCTCCCTTTAAGAAAATGAGTTTGGGCTTTCTGTGTTTTTTTTACCAATTTGAATTTTTGTCCTGTTTAGTTTGTTTTAAATTAAGGATCAAGAAGGTTATGCTGTATCATTTTGTCTGTTAATAATTTATACACTATATAAAAAAAAAAAAGAATAAAAGATGCAGAGGATGAGAGGGAGTTGAGGCACCGAGGAGATGAGGGGCACAACCTACTGACAGTAAATAACTAAAGAATTCAAATGCTTATTTTTTTAAAGACACTACTGAGTAAAAAGATTTATCTCTGGTGCACCATGAAGATTACAAAACATGTTAGATACATAGATTTCACTCAAATATTTTACACCATATTTTAAGCACAAAATGGACTATAAGCCTTGTTCAATTAATATATCATAATGTGTGCAGATCTGGAAATTAATGAGATAATTCCTACACTAGGGGCATCAAGGTCATTGGGGCTTTTTGTATATGAACTGTAGAAATACTGTTGTCTACCTTTGCTGGACTCAATATTGTTGTTTTAGTGGCTCTTAAAATGCATAGAAAAAGATAACGGCGGTGTTGTTTTATGTTGTCTGGCACAGTAACTCTTCAGTGACTGTCTCTGTTGTCTTTTTTTATTTTTGAAACATCACAGGGCAGTGAAAAGAGAGAAGTGGGTAGTGACCAAGGCTCCATTCTGCACAGGGTGGAGGATCAACCACCATCTTTTAGTGCGATTGCTGAGGTGGAAGGAAAGAGCAGTCCATAGCAGTGCTTTAATTCTTCTGACATATCGTCTACTGTAAGCAAAATTCAATACTTTGCAGTATAGATGTTATATAGATTATTATATAGATGTGTGCCCAACACAAGCATGGAGTTTTGTTTTTTCTTCCAGGAGGAGCTTATCCTGTCTACTTTGAGTTTTCTACAACACTTTATTTGACAACACAGAAGCAGATACGGACTTTTGTTTTACCTCTTTTGGTAGTGTACATAAAATGATGTATTTTGATGATTAATAATTGCTGTATTTTGATTTACTTTCTCACATGTCATTATGCAATATCTCTGGCTGACCTGCATACTTTAATACTTTTTATTTTGTGTGATGCCTGTGTTGCGTTTAATACGTTGCTGTCATATGAACAATACTATTAAATGAGAACAGTTCTCTAAATTATTAGGCTAAGTGCCAGAGTTGTAATATTACTGGGTTTATTCAGAAAATATATTATCTAAGTAATACTTGATGTGTCTGACCTAAGGTACTTAAATCCTCCTTAGATTATACATCAAATGTGTATTTAAGCACTAGTTTTGATTAGGATATATGCAAAACACTGTGTACAGTACACCTATTCTGGTCAAGCAGTGTTGTAATGAATAAAGTTTTGTCATTTCAGTTTCCTTTATAGTTGCCTTCAGTTGGTGCATAAATGATGCAGACTTTAAGTGTGTGTGTGTGTGTGTGTGTGTGTATCGGTTCCCACTGAGCACCGAGCTGCTCCAAACGTGATTAGTTTGTGACATTACAGCAAAGCACCTGTGCTGCAGTGACTTTCATTCCCCTGTTCAGCCACAATATGAAAACTAAGGTTCAAGATCTGAATTGGAAATTCTACGTAGGAGCCATAAGGTAAAGATGGATTATTTTTTTTAGTCCATATTGTAACATTGGCTGGGTCGAGGAAAGATTTTTATCTCAGGAACATTTTGTATATTATATGGCATGCAGACAGATAAGCATGAAAACTGCAACTTCACCAGCAGCATATACTATAACACCGAGTTGTTTTTTTTGTTTGTTTTTGTTTTGTTTTTTGCACTATGAAGCTCTATGAAGAAGACACTATAGTGGACAAGAACAATTAATCATCAGCATGAGGAATGAATGTAGTGGTTTGTATGGTACAAGAACTATAACAGAAATATACTTGGTTGTCAGTCTATCAGTTTTGAAGTGTTCCTTAGCTATATCTAGTGCTGCTGTTCTCACATACAAATGTATGTGAGACACTGTTATTAACTCCTTAAAATAGATTTGGCATTTATCCTACACCATTGTAATTAGCATTTTCTTTGACTGATATCCAAAGAATGTGTTCCAGGCTATGAGTTATTTCTGGCTCTCTCCTGCTGCCTGGGAATTCTTGGTCTGTATCAATCCGCTGTAGGACCTCAGCTGAACCTCGGTCTACCTCCGGTCTCCTGCTGTTCTCTCCTCTCCGAAATCAAGAAGTTAATGTAATACACTGCCACCCTTCAGCTGCCTGTAACAGCATTGCTACTGTACATCCAGGCTTTTCATGTGTGCTTTACAAGTGTGTACAATAATGCTAAAATTCAAAGGTAACCCAAAGCATTTGGAGTTGTGGGTTTGGGACAGATGGTGTGGTGCAGTAGGTACATGTACAGTAGGAGAGTGTGGATTAATGGAGACAGAAAGACATAGATCATACAGATCAGCCCGATTTTCATCTTCAAGTGAGAGTTTATCCTTGTGAGCCCTCTGCTGCCTGTTAGTCTGTAAGGCCAGTAGCCTGTCCTCCCCCTGGTCAGACTCTGTTACACATTACCTTTTAGAAAGATGTTATCATCCCAACCACCCACCACATGGAGCCTGTCACTAACTGACACAGCCCACAACACAACCAATCTGCCTACTTTGTATGACGACATGCCTTCTACATTGAACTAAGTTTAAAGTGCACTTTGGACCCCTGTGCAGCATCCATGACACAAGAACAGTTTTATAGTTCTGGCGGCCCTCCAGGGCGCAGTCCATAGCTAAAGACGGCCACTTTGCATGTATATTTCCTGCTTTCCAAGTTGCAAAGGACATTATATGACAAACAAAAACAACAGAAAGGAAATTAAAGCAACAACATTATTGAAAGACCTGAGGCTGAACAAATTAGTTGGTACACTACTGTGTCAGAGCAAGGGTCACTGTTTTGCGAGTCATTGCGTTAAAAATATCTTTATTGTGGTGGATCATGTTTGGGTAGGAGGGATCGTTTTGCCCCACTGGGCCACCCTTGTGGGCAGCAGATGAGCCAGAGAGACTTGTGTGTACAGTATGCATGTATGTGTGTGTGTGTGTGTGTGTGTGTGTGTGTGTGTGTGTGCTCTTCTGGACTGTGAGCAGAGGAGCCCTGCCAGCCAGCTTGCTCGAGCTGCACACACTCCAGTCCAACAGCTCGTCTCCTCTCTGCTCCAGATGATGCCTTGGATTTAGCCGACCCACACGAGTGATATGAATAACACACTGGACAAAATACACACTTCTGGAAGCTTCAGAGACAAAGCAGAGATTTTTCAGAGTAGCAGGGGTAATGAAAGTATTTTTCCTAACCCTGCCTTCATCCCTTTGCGAGCTCCTTTACTACCACCAAATGCCCAGAAGACAAGGACTACATTCTGCAAGAGGAACAGGTATGGCTTATGTGTCTTTAAAATTGCAATGAATGGTACCAGTCTGTTTATAAGAATCAAATATTCAGTTGCACTAAAATTAAAAGTAGTGTTGTGTTTTCCACTCTAAACTTTACAACGTGGCCTACTTATAGTACTGTACACTCTATTTATTTGCAAGACAAAGACACTGTTTTGTTTGAAAGCTGTAGTGGAGACTTTGTACCTGTAAACACAATTGGGTCGACCCAGACGCAGCTGTCAATGAAATGTAGTGTATTATTTCAACACTGCAGTTAAAGACCTGGAATCAAATCAAGCACCTGTCAGTTTGTGGGAGATAAGTAGTAACTCAGTAACTGCTGTGTTTACAGAGCAGTAAAGAAAGTGTCAGTTGGAGAACAGCACCTTTCAGAGGCCGAGGCCTTCTCATCTGCAAGTGTGCTGAAATCTCAGTCTTTCTTACCATGTAATGATGATAATGTAAGATGATCTGTTCATGCAGTGTTTTTCTGACTGATTTATAAGTGAGCAGATGAGAAAAACATGCTAAACTCTCACAGATTTGAATGATGCGTCCTTAAGTAGTTGTAAAAGTTGGCAGAATTACATTGTAAGATTATGCTGAAATAGTTGTTAGATTTCTTGATTGTAATGTGCCTTACTTTTCTCCACCCACCAGTGCAAGCGCTGTCTGAGCTTGTTTTAGCTAGTGTATCATATATGCTTTTCCTCTAAAATGTAATGAAGTTGATGTATGAAGTAGCACAAAATGAAAATACCCCAGTAAATATAGACACCACACAATTGTACTTAAGTACAGTACTTGAGGAAATGTACTTAGTTACTTTCCGCCACTGGGTCTTCCACTGAAATGTCTGTATTTGTCACAATGTCACAAACAGTAAATTCTGTATCTTCTTCATTCAAAACTTTGCTCAAGCTACAGTTTAGCTGTGATATTTTTAGTGAGTGATATTCAGTCTCAGGACCTGTAGAAATGGCTGTACTGTGCCATGTCATATTGTAGATGTGTGCACTGTTTTCTACATATGGACTCTCATATAGAATCTGAAATTAAATCTAAACAGTACTTAGCACATTTTGTGCAGGATCTGTTCATTTCTCTCACTGTGTCTGTTTTTTTCTTGCCATTTAGGAGCAGTAGAGAGGGAGAGGAGGCCTCTCCTGTTCCAGATGGTTTTCCTGAGCTCATCCCTTCAACCCTTTCCCCCCTCGTCTCTGAATGTTTATTACCATGGACCAAGAGTAGTGCAATTCATGTGAGTGTTCCATTTACAGTACTTGAGGGTATATATGACACAAAGAAACACGCTATTTAAAGTTTAAGGCCTTTCCTAGGACCTTTTCCTTATGCTACCCTATATAGCAAAGTCATGTGAACTTTATTTGGAACAAGGGCCAGGAAAACAACTGCAGAGCATATTTACAGTAAATATAAATGCATAGTTACATGATGTTTGACTTGTGATTTGTCTAAAACTTCAGGGCATATTGAAGGTAGAACCAGTTATGCGAGTATGGAAATCAGTTGTATTGCTGTGTCAGCACAGACGGTCCAGCATGCTCAGTGTTGTTAATGCATACTGTACAGTGGCCACCAAATAACAGTAAAACGGCTAATACATAAAACGTGTGATACTCTCTGTAGATGTTGCAGTTGAAATTTATAGGTTCATGGTTTACCCAGGAATTACCTGGCCTAGTGCCTAACAGCCACTCTTGCACGTTTGTTTTAGCACAGGGTGTGTGATTAGTCGTGCTCTGAATGTGCTGGAAAAGCTTTCACTTCAGCCTAGATGTTTAAAGGTTATATGTTTGAAAGTTTGGAAGTTTTGGTCACCTGGGAAAAAAAATTGACACCATTTTATTATCAGTGGACTGATCACAAAGCCCATCTCCCTTAGTTACCTGACAGATCATTATCAATGCTAGATTTACCACCCTAAACCTAAAGTAACTTTGGAAATAATGGTTCTTTAATTTGACACGCAGTGTGTCCTATATATGATAGAAAAACGGAGTGGCTAAGTGTTTTTGTGACGTGACTATGCAAAACAGCTTCACAAAACCTTTCTATGGATGTGCATGGCCTACTCTTGTTTCTCTACTGATGTTCACAAGCTGCTGGTTGTAAATGTGTCATGTCCACCTGTCACGTAGTGGAAGTTGCAGCATAGTTGTGTTGTTTTACAGTAGACATGAAGCAGGGCAGTGAGCTTTAAGCAATGAGTGCAAGTCAGGAGAAAACTTATTATTATGTACAGCAGGAAATGATTGAATTTGACCCTATGATCTGTTGATTTGTATGTTTATATAGAACTCAGTGTCAAATTCTAAAAAGACAGCACATTCATTAACTTTGAAAGCTAACAATTATGGGTCTGCTTCAAAATGGACTATGTCTATACATTTTTCAGGGCTGTTAAATTACTCTGGTTTGTCAACCACTAGATATTTCCTGGATGTGGATCCTTATAATGTCTGCAGGAGTTGATTTCAGGGTCCTTTTTTTAGTATCTCTGTGGTGCCTGTGTACACTGTATGTATTTGTGTCTGCATGTGTAGCAGCGGGGGCAGACAAAAG